TCCTTCATCCCTCTCTATTGCTGTATCCTTTTATGCATATGGACTACTCAGAGGGCTGAAAAAGTTATTTTTGACTGGTCCTCGCACTTTTGACCAGTCCTCGAATTTACGACTGTCCTCACATTTTACGTTTTTTGCCCTATCTTATACCATGTTGAAGAGAAGCAGTTGTGAAATGAGTGACATGGTTGTTAAGAATGCTGCACGGGCATAAATGTGAGGATGGTCATAAGAGTGAGGACCAGTCAAAAGTGCGAGGACCTGTCAGAAATGACTTTTTTCAGCCCTCTGAGTAGTCCCTATACATATAGCCATGGCCACCTGGTCACATGACCAGCTAGCCACTCCCACCCAGTCACATGACCTCCAAGCCACACCCACAAAATAAGCCACGCCCACAGAACCGGTAGTAAAAAAATTTAGAACCCACCCTTGGTTGGGGGTCACCACAACATGAGGAACTGTATTAAAGGGTCGCAGCATTAGGAAGGTTGAGAACCACTGCTTTATGGTCTGTTTCTGTTGCTCGCCTCAGGGAGGCGGTTTTGAAGTATTTCTAGCAGGACTACCAGATTCTGTAACAGCTTTGTTCTCTATGCCATCCATCTGGTAAACTCGCTAGATTTGTTTTTTGTCACTATGTACATGTATATTTAATGTATGCCAATAAGTGTACATTCAAAGTGAAAATAAAGTTATTCTATTCTATTCTATTCTATTCTATTCTATTCTATTCTATTCTATTCTATTCTAAACTAACACAAACTTAATTCTCTTCTTGCTATTTATCACAGCACTGGGATGAACATTCCAAAGGGTGGGAGAGAAGGGTGAAAAACAAAGCTGAAATAAAATTGTAAGACATTCATGATCATGTGATTTTTTTCCATTTAGCAATCAGATCGCTTAGTAATTGAATACAGGTCCCAACTGTGATTGCGAAACTAGGAGTACCTTCGTGCTTTTTTGACTATGTCCTATTATTCTAGGGCTGCCAGTAGATCAAACTGTAACTACTTTTTGCTTCTGAATTCTAGCTTCTTTAATTACCATCAACATCTTTCTTCTGCAGTCTATACTTGCTACATAAAATTCATGATTGTGTTATTTTTGATGACTAAAATTCCTTTTTTTAAAATAGCTAAAGAACTGTGGCAGCAGTGATGTTTGAAAGTTCATTAGTTACTGCCCTTAGTGATGTCTGCACAGTCAATTGCGTTCAGAAATGTCAATCTCTCAGGCTATATGTCTTTTATAATAAAAAAAATCTTGTGATATGCCTCAAATGCTGTCATGTCCAAGATTAAACTAACTGCAAGATTTTCCTGGAAATGAAAAACTATAAGGATTTGTTCCTTCCCCAATAATGGGTTGGGTTTTTGTGTTGTGTTGTTTTGTTTTTGTCCTCTTTGTTTACATATTCTTTTGTTTGTATTCTACTAGTTTTCCTGAGAAGAACAATTCTTACTATTTCTTCCTTTTCAACCAGTAGAAGAGCCTGCATCCATAATTTATATAAATCCTTTTTTTCCATATCTATATTGAGATTACAAATAGCGTCACAATGTTTCTATTTCCATACCTTAGTAGTCATCATCTTTTTTATTCATTTATTTTTAAATTTTATACTCTGCTCTTTACCTTCAGATTACACATGGGGATACTATACCAAAAGGAGTGAAAAGAAAGGAATGGGCTAAAATTTACTGTAGCACGCTCAGCATGGCTTGACCTTATCTTGCTCAACCGACCACCTACTGCTTTTCCATTGGGAGAAAATTTAACTGAGGGCCTTGTGCCCAGTCCTTCCCCAAAACTCAAAATTTCTCCACTAATAACTGATCTCCTCTTTCCCTCTGGGGTTTGGGATGAGTTTTCGAAAAATTTAAAAACTAGAAACATTTTATATCTGATACTTTCCAGATAAAAATGTTCCAAGGCCTTGGATAACAATAGAGGCATTTTCTCTTGAAGCAGTTATATCATAAAAATGTACCTATGTGTATTTGTGTATTTTTATGTTTTGTCTAATTATAAAAGCTCTCTATTTTTTTTTTTTAATGAAACCAAAAGAAAGGAAAGGTTTCTTGTCATCATCAACTTCCCCCAAACTGGAGGTTTTCCCTACCATTTTAAAAAAAAGTGAAATACATTGTTAGGGCCATATTATATGAAATTTTTATGATTAAATGTTGCAGTTCTGACTTGAAACAGCCATCAGTAAAATGAAACAATGTTTTCACCATATATTTGTATGTATATATAATAAGAAAGTTGTGAACCATGAATGGAATCTAGTTACTGTCTTCTAATATTTATGCAAGAAATTGGATGGATGGATTTCTTTTAAAACAAAAAGACTAGTGAAATGGAATCTGTTACAACATGAAAAAACATGTAATTCATAGGATTCCTTTAGAGTCTATTATTTTCTCTGATCAAATCCAGTTTAATATAATAAACAATGTAGAACATACATCTGCAAAAAATATTTACCCAAAAATTGCAAACAAGCTCCTGTATATATTTAATGTTTAGGTTCTTGGTTGGAATTAGAAGAATAATGTTACTGATTGTTCACTCAGTAATTTGTTGCTACCAAGATAGAAAAATAAAACCTTTTAATATGTGATACATTATATTATGCTGGTGCCATAAAAATTACAGTATTGAGAGAAAGTTTCTGAACCTTTTAAAACTTTATATCCTGTTTCTCTCCAAAATAAGACTTCCCCTGATAATAAGCCCAATTGGGCTTTTAAGCGCATGGCAATAAGGCCAAGCGCTTATTTCAGGGTTCAAAAAAATATAAGACAGGGTCTTATTTTCAGGGAAACACAGTAAATCAGTACCTATCTACTTACAATGTGATCTGAAGTTAGGGTTTTCATGTAATTCTAGTACATACTGATTTGGGGTGTTTCTAACTAATTTTATTTCACCCAATATTTTTCTTGATATCTCTGTCAATTTTCTCTAAAAGGCTTTGCCTCACTCATAGAATTGTTGAATGAGAGACTGGAAGCTGGCAGAGTTAAGGTATCTGTCATAGTAATATCTGTTCTTTCCTCTTGAAATCAGAATGAAGGAGCACCCAGTAATTCAGAGTTATTTTAGAGTACCGTATTTTCCGGCGTATAAGACGACTGGGCGTATAAGACGACCCCCAACTTTTCCTGTTAAAATATAGGGTTTGGGCTATACTCACCGTATAAGACTACCCCTCTTCCAACGCACACCAAATAAAAATTAAAAAACATCAACTGGGTCACCCACAATGTAAAAGCAGCTGTACTAGACCCATAATGGCCCCTGCAACAAGCAGGAACCTCACACAGTCACAAAAAGCCCCAAAAAACAACTTTCATACTTTACACACACACAATTCCACATAACAGCTTTGTGAGATTTTGTGTGTTTGTGTAGTTAGAGTGAAACACTACAGAAACACACTAAATCTCAGAAAGCTGCACAAATATTATTTTATTTTTATTTTTATATGAAAACTAAATTTAAAACTTCCTAAATTTTAAATGGCTAGGTCTAAAAAAGAACAACTAAAAAAAACCCCAATTAACTATTTTTTTTTTTAAAGCTCCCAAAGGGGAAAAAAACTTACACAATAGAACAGGGGTCTCCAACCTTGGCAACTTTAAGACTTGTAGACTTCAACTCCCAGAATTCCTCAGCTAGCTTTGTTTTGCTGGCTGAGGAATTCTGGGAGTTGAAGTCCACAACTCCTGCCTGCTTGATTGCAGGCAGGGAGTGGCTTGCTGATGGAATGGATTTAGGCAAGCGAAGCAAGGCAAGCGTTGCGATTAGCCGCTAAGGTAAGCAACTGGAGAGGGAAAACTTTTTTCCTTTTACAGGCTCTGGCAATCCCAGCTGCGTTGCCTGATTGGCAGGCAAAGCTGGGATCGTCAGAGCTTGGATCGCCAGAGCCATTTAAGGCTCGTCAGAGTCTTTCGGGCTGGTCTGCCTAGTTACAGGAGAATGACACCAGGCGTATAACACGACCCCTGACTTTTGAGAAGATTTTCATGTTTTAAACAGTCGTCTTATATGCCGGAAAATATGGTAGATTTATTTCCTGTGGCAAAACTGGAAAAACTAGAGATCCATTTAATTTAGCTTATAGAATATGATTGTAAGACTGTGTCAATCACCTCTTCTGAACATAGACAAAAGGAACACCTACGTCTTTAAAAAAAAATTATATGCTCACATATTTCACTATAGTAAAAATGGCAAGATGTGTGTGTGTCTGTGAGAGAAGAGAGAGTAGTAAGTTTGAAAATGCTTTCTTGTATTCTAATTATCTACAGACTAATCATCTTTCAGTCAAAGTTTTGCAAAGAAATGTGTTTTCCTGTTTATTTTCTTATTCCATGAAAGAAAGAGTACAAATAGTTTTTAAAACACACAGTAATTGATGACAAGTTTTAAGGAGATCCTTTGTGTCTTTTAGATAAATAACAGCATAGAGATGTTGTGTTTGACTTTTCATGCCTTTGTATAATCATTTACATTTAGATTGTTATCCTCAAAGAAAGGAGGAAGCGCAGTATGGTGCTTTCATCTGTTTTTGGTTATTGGAGCTACAGCTAATGCACTGTACCCTAAAAAATTGTTCTCCTGCTTAGGCAGGAAAAGGCTGAATTTGTGTTAAATTGTTTTTCATCAAATGCAACATTGGTTTGCATGGGGACAGTGGAAATGAGATTGTATGTGAGAATCTATAAACAAAGGCTGTAGTTGTTAGATTAATGCATTTCTCTATGTGTCATAATCAAATCAGGCTAATTTGTTTTGCATTTGATTTCTGAACTTAGGAGACCCAAAGTTTTTTTCTATTTTTTATGTTTCAAAAAGTGTGTGCAAATCCAGATAGAAAGGAGCATGCTATTTGCATTTTTTAAGTTGTATATAATTAATGACAACTGTGGTTGAAGTAGAACTCCTACTAATGCTGCATTCCAAATGTTTCCCAAAACTAATAGAGTCACAGGTGGAGAGCGAGCCTTCTCCTGAGAAGCGGCCACGGTTACTGGAGGACGGTCATGATAGACCTGAAGAAATCAGCCGTTCCAAACAGAAGAGCAGACGCAGGTGTTTCCAGTGCCAAACAAAATTGGAGCTGGTACAGCAAGAGCTGGGATCATGTCGCTGTGGTAAGGACTGATAGACAGAGTTGAACTAAGATTTCTTTTAATGTCCCACCCAGTGAGGAATAATATGAGCTACATTGTAGTGGTAAAGAAATGATAGCAAAACCTGCACAATAACTTTAGTAGATTAAATAGCAATAGCACTTAGACTTATATACCACATCACAGTGCTTTACAGCCCTCTCTAAGCGGTTTACAGAGTTAGCATATTGCCCCCAACAATCTGGGTCCTCATTTTACCCACTTCGGAAGGATGGAAGGCTGAGTCAACCTTGAGCTGCTGAAATTCGAACTTCCAAACTGCTGGCAGCTTGCAGTCAGCAGAAGTAGCCTGTAGTATTGCATTCTAACCACTGTGCCACCACAGCTCATCTGACAACCTTGTTGCTGTCATAATATTTTGTATGTAAACAAGGAGATTATAGATTTATTTTACTTATGGAGTTAGCTATTTATATGTAGCAAACTATTGGAAGTGCCTTATTTTGAGTGGCAGTTCTGAGTATCCTCTTCTGTCATTAGATATAGCAGTCATATGAAGCTGCCTTTTTTCCAAATTCTAGATCATTATTTATTTTATTTATTTATTTATTTTGTTGCATTTCTATGCCGGCCAACTCCCAAGGGACTCTGGGCGGCTTACAATTATTATTGTTCTAACAACATCTTCCAGGGATTCCAGACTGACATTTTCAGCATTCTAGATAGTAAATTTGCAATTTTGTTAATACAAAGCATGTATTATTCCCCTGAGCTAAAGTCTCTTCCATAAGCCTTTTTAAAATCTTATGTCCAACCCAGAGGGTCATCATACATATAAAAGTTCCACTGCATCTACTTGAGCCTCCATCTAAAGATTTCTTTAAGTACTTGGTTCAATGAAGGACATAAATCACAGGATCTCTGTGAGGTGTTCCATGGCATCATGCTTCTTCACTGAAATGGGAATGATCAAGTACAGTGAATTATCATGAAAAGAAACTAGGAGTAATTCATACCATCAGAACATTATATTAACTTCTTTTGTTGCAATTTGAATTCCATATTTAGTTCTTTCAACATTTATTCATCTTGCATCTATAAATTGTTATATTCTATCATAGAACTAAAACCAAACACCATTATTAATTCATGAAACATAGTATCTCTTAGTAGTGCTACTTTTTATGTTCAAGATTCAGAATGACCAAACTATTCTATGGTTGAGAAAGTGTCACATGTATCTACATACTTGAAAGCAGAGGTGGGTTCTACTTATCTTTACTACAGGTTCTCAACAGGAGTGCGTGTGTGCTCTGCGCATGCACAAATTTGTCAATTATGACGTCCGGGCGGAGCCTCCCACCACTTTTACTACCAGTTCTAAAGAACCGGACAGAACCGGGTGCAACCCACCACTGCTTGAAAGGGAAAAATAAGCTGCTGACTACATATCTGTCTAAGATTTACTACTCACAGGACTCTGTTTAAAATGTTGTTCTTGGGTTTCCTCGATAAAATACAAACTAAGACAGTTAAAAACTGCTTAAACATGACTATCTGAGATATTTATTGTTATATTAGTGTGTTTGTCAGAGTTTGATTAAAGGCACTTGCTGACACTAAGGCATTCTAGACATAAAATTTGTCTTAATAAAAGAAAGGTGAATATAGTTGTGCTTGAAAATATTCCAAGTCTGATAGCTTAATTAACAGTGCACTTAGCTTTTGAAACAACCCAATTAGGTTAAAAAATAATGCTTGTTTGCTTGGTTGAATCCAATTGCCCAACAAAGCTGCATTGGTATTGGAGAACAGGCAGTAGTATTCTCTGACTGCTTTTCTCTGGGGCTGTCTCCAGAGACTACTACCATACTATGTTGGTTGAAAGATTTTCTCAAATGGTATAATGTTTTAGAAGATGGTGTGTGTGTGTGTATAATAATGTATGAAAAGAGAACTTCAGGGGAGGGTCATTTGAAAGGAATTGCAATCTGCCCCATTCTTTTAATAGGGATATTGCTGATCCAAGTTTCTTCCACAAAAAGGAGTCATCCCTTTTTCAGAGTAGCATTTTTGTGATCTCTACCTTTTTCCATGTATTCCTCTATAAATAGCAATAACACTTAGACTTATATACTGCTTCACAGTGCTTTACAGCCCTCTCTAAGCGGTTTACAGAGTCGGCATATTGCCCCCAACAATTTGGGTCCTCACTTTACCCACCTCGCAAAGATGGAAGGCTGAGTCAACCTTGAAGGAGCCCTTTGCTAGATACTTTTTAAAAATTATAAAACCCATTCCTCCAATTTAATTATTAAAGATCATAGCATCCAAATATTTTCTCATCTGATCTTTTTTGTTAGGGGGAGGTCCTCAGCTGTGCAATATCATGCCTCAATGGGGCTATGGTAATAGTGGTTGAATATATTCTGTTGTGCTTAATGTTTGATAATAAAGCTAGCATCTGTCTCTTGAATACATATGAGGAAATGTATCAACCCCCTACCACTTTATTGTATTTAATGTATTCATTCTTTAAAAAGATGAATTCCTTAAGGGGGTGATTGCCATTTCTGTCTAAGCCTGTTGTTGCATTTAGAGATAATACTAGAAAATGCTAGTCATGTCAGGTCTGCTGAAAAATGACTAATTTTAATACTATAAATATTTAAAAATCTACATACTGCTACATAAGGATTTGGAAGCAAAATGTACCCATTCATAATTGGTACATAGAGTTAGTAATTTTTAAGAAGATGTTTAATATTAAGATTAACAAATTAGAAAATATGTTTATTATATTATACTATGTTAATACACATGTGATGTCAGTTTTGTAAGTCCAGCCATATAGTTAAAATAAATCAATTTTATTTATCAAACAGCAAAGCATTGCTTTTTTTTCTGTTTGAAATGCTACTCACCTGCTTTAGAATACATTTTCTTTATCTCTTGCAGAACACAAGTTCTTTTACAGTAGCTATGAGAGATAACATGAGTTTATCCATGTGAATAGTGCAAATCTTGGTATAAGTGGAGACTGGAATTTTGTTTCTAATTAATTCTGAACTACTGCTCTGTCAACTGGAAAGTAGACTTTCCAAATGTCAAAAAATACCCAATAACTCTAGAAACGTTTATACTATTCTAAAATATGTTTTATCACTCTGTTTTTTTTCCTTTCTAAGGATATTAGTAATTGTTTTCCCAATTTGTAAAAACATATTTTGACTCCAGTAATGGTTGTCACATTCATCTAAAATAGGTTATTTATTTATTTATTTGTTTGTTTGTTTGTTTGTTTGTTTATAGTTAGTTAGTTAGTGCCTTTGAGTCAGTTTTTGTTTCCTGGTGATTGCCTGGAAAAATCGCTGCAATTTTCTTGGCAAGGTTTTCGGAAGAGGCTTGCCTTTACCTATTACTACCTTAAGCCAAATAAATAAATTAAATAAATAAATAAAATAAAATAAAATAATAATAAAATAATAAATAAAGCCAGCAACTGGCTCAAGATCACCCAGCTGGCTTTGTGTCTAAGATGGGGACTAGAACTCATGGTCTCTAACCCGATGTCTTAACTGAAAATCTTAAAACAGCTCAGTTATTTCATAATAAAAGTATCTTGGTTCTGTTTTCATATTGTTTGCAATTTTTACAGTAAAAACAAGTTAGCATTTGTGCACATGTACTTCTTTTCCTTTAGGTTTTATTTCAATTTTTGTATTACAGATTTCATTCAGGAGTAGTAACAAATATTCTCCAAGTAGCATAACATGCTAAACTAGCAACCTAATACTTCCCTAATAGCATAATGCTGTAATAAGAAAAAATGCAAAATGAGGTTTATCTGCATTTTTTTTACTTTGCATTTTCTTCTTAACTCCTTGATAGACAGTCACTTTATAATTGGTGGAGCATATACATTAATAAGTATTTACTGTCTCAATTTTTAAAATAGTAATATCTGCTGCTTGGGAATTCTGGAGTCCAATCTCTCCCTCTCCCTCTCCCTCTCTCTCCCTCTCTCTCGGACCTACGTTTGAGGGGTCCCAGGCAGTAAGTTTTCTCTGCCCTGGGGCCTGCCACATCCCCTCCAAAAAAAATTAGATCAGCTCCATCTATTTTGATGTTCTAAAAGTCCCTCAAGACTTGGTTATGCTACCAGGCCTGGAGGTCCCAGGAAAACAGAGATTTTTTTTTTTTTTTAATTTTGCATGGCTCCGCTATTGAGGTGGATGTTCTCTCTTAATCTCCATTCTTAACTATGATTTTTATATTTTTAGATGCCTGTTATGTTATTTTTATTGATAATTGTATGCCGCCCAGAGTCACTTCTCATGAGATAGACAGCTGTATATTTTTTATTAATAAATAAATAAATAAACTGCAGATTTTAGAGTCCACTGTGTACTTCACTATCCATTCATCATATTACGTGTCTCATGTATCAAAGGTAATCAGAATTTATGGGGCATACCCAGTCTATTATATTATAATTTAGATTTCTACCACTATGCCCCAAACTTAGTGAATTGTAGGCAAATTGGATATTGACACTGCCTTTATAGATACTATAACTGATAATGAGAATTGCTGTGCTTTGTATTTACTTGCACTGTTTTTATAATTTGTGCAAGACTTGTCCCAAACATCAACCATATGTGAGGTAAAATCTAGAGGATGTTATTGGTTTGGTAACATAATTGCAATCCAAACAAGTATGTAGCCTTTGTATCATTAAGAGATCATTTTTATTCATCTCCAAATATTTGAAGGTATGCAATTTCATTTTTATGTTCTAAAGATTAGAATCTGAAACAACTCATCGAATTACAGAAATGAGTTTCAGTAAATGCTAGGAGCAATCAATATATTCTCTATAATTTTAGGACTGCTTTTTCCACATATCCAGTGTTATTCTATGGAAACTCTAATATTTATCTTTTTATAATATATAATTACATTGAATATTAAAAAAAAAAATCCCATGATCCAAAAGGGTCTCAGACATGAAGCATTTG